GCTCCAAACTTGTTAGAAAGCAAATTTGATTGTGTGGGATTTTCCGGCCCAGCAACAAAATGCTATTGTCACACCCGTTATTAATGCTACGGTTACATTAGTAACTTTACGGGATAACTTATATTCCTATGATACCACTATTACAGGATGGGGGGTCCAGCTAAATATCATAGCAGTACTTATAGTAGCAATGATCGCAAAAATAGTAATAGTAGTAAGTATGCCTAGATAGAATGGTGATACTAGAAATAACGTCTGCAAGCATAGTCCTTGAGGCTGGAGATCAAAAGAAAGAGAGAGAGAGAGAGAGCCCAGCCCCCGCAATTGGGACCCTATGACTATCATCCTCATGCTGGGGGTTGAGGTTACCAAAATCCCCTTAAGAGAGAGAGAGAGAGAGAGAGAGAAGACCTTGTCCGTACCGACCGAAGTGACAAGAATTGTGCGGCTGGGGGGCGTAGCCCCGACCCATCTCACCAGGGGGGTGGGTAGAGTCGGTAGAAGAAGAAGAGAGAGCGCTGCTGTTGGTGTAAGGGGGTATTCTGAAAGGGGGACTCGTGGGTAAATGGGCTAGAGTCTAAGCTCCTTAAAGGGTGGTTATATAGAGGACTACTATAAAGGTTCTGAAGAGGGATACTGGGAGTTTAGACGATAGCTCAAATGGGGATTATTTTAGGGGTATCTACACAATAATGGAGAATCGCATGGAAAACAACGTGGAAGAAGACATGGAAAAGGGGTTGACATATTTTTTAAGGGTATTGGCAGTTTCCGTAAATAGGGGGTGCCCAATATGGACCCCAACACTTTATAATCCTCATTATGAGGGCCCCCAAGGAAGGTAACCGATTTTGGGACCCCCCCCCATTTTTGCTTCTGATCTGAATCGAGCAGATAGAACAAGTGGGGCAATGTGTATCTCTGCTCTGCATACAACAGCAACCGGAAGTCATACCAGGACTCGTTGCAGAAAGGCCCTCAAACCCCAAACCCATATGCATCCCAATTTCGAACCCTTGGAAGCCTCATCTGCTCGGTGCAGGACAAGGATGGAAGCAAGGCTCTTCCGCACTTTTTGGACCAGCCTTTATGTGTTACACTTTACACTTGGGTAGGGGTTTTGGGTTTGGGGTTCAGGGTTTGGGGATTCAGGTTTGGGGTTAAGGGTTTAGGGTCCCACTCTGTAACAGCTGCGTAATGTTAATAACATAGTTATAGATAGCCCTTAATCTGATCCCTTATATAGAATGCTACAGGGTGGGGGGCAGTACCCTAAACCGTAAACAACCCTAAATAGTAGTTTCCATTTTCTTTTCCATTATCCTATATAACCCCCATAACCCCTATACAATCCGTATATAACCTCTATATAACGCCTATATATTTCACTTTACACAGTAGTTTAGGCCAGCCGTCTTGGATGAAGGCTTCTGGTCGGAAGTCTCCCAGAACCTGCAGATGTTTAGGGCTTAGGATTCAGGATTCAGGGTTCAGGGGTTGGGGTTCAGAGTTGAGGGCTAAGGTTTAAGGTTCAGGGGCCCAGTCCGGCCTAGTCTTGAACTTAATCATCTGACTGGTTCTTAGTAAGGAGTAAGGGAGTATATTATAATGGGATTACATTCCCATATTCCCTACTAAGAACCAAGAAGTGGTTGGGCCTCTGGATACCCTAAACCCTAAACCCTAAACCCTGTCGGTATCCCTTTGCCTCGCGGCCTGCGGATGCTTGAGAGGCAAGGGATTTTGAGACCAATCATTCCATGCTCTTGATATTCAAGCTCCCGCATGATTCTAGGGTGCTAGAAGATTATTCCCAAGGTAAGGGGTGTAGGGTGCTTAGGGCCACCCAGGGCCGTAGGCTTTAACTTCAAGCTTTGAACCCGAAATCCCTACAGCCTAGATGTTCCCATAGCCCCTTCTCAATGGACCCAAGGGCCCTACACCCTAAACCCTAAGCCCTAAAACCTAAGCCCTAAAACCTTAGTCCCCTAAACCCTAAGCCCTAAATACACAGGGATCCCACGAGTCCCGAAAAGCTTTGCATCAAGCTGTAAGGACAAGGATGAGGCCAAGGAGCCTACGCCTGAGGAAATTGAGAAGGCCAAGAAGGATAAGCTGAAGAAGGTGCGGGCGCCTTTAATGTTTAGGGTTTAGGGTTTGGGAATGAAGATTTTTCGAAAATTTCAGGTTTGGGATTTAGAGTTTGGGATTTAGGGATTAAGATTTAGAGTTTGGGAGTCAGGTTTTAGGGTTTGGGTTTAGGGTTTAGGGGGTTAGGAATTAGGGTTTAGGATCCAAGGTTTGATTTGGCTTTAGGATGGGTTTAGGGTGTAGGGTTTACGCCAGCGAAGTTCCCCAAACCCCAACAGTGAATCTGGGGTAGGGCAGTACAGCCGTCCTCTGAAGGCCAGCCAAGAGGTCGCCAGGGTTCAGGACTTCGGGTTTGGGGTTTAGGTTTAGGGTTCAGATCCAAATGCCCACCCCCTGTTCTTCCTATGCATGGTCCCTCTTCTTTGTCCCACATAGTCCCTATGCAAACTCAAAAGTTTAGCCTTACAGAATCCCTTGGGTTCAGGGTGTAGCTTTCAGGCAGATAGTAAATAGTAACATTGCAAATACCGCTATGCTGCACCCAAAACCCTTAACTCTCAAGACCCTAAACCTCGTAAAGAGTCCCTGGCGACCAGGTCATCAAGGAAGGTGGCAAGCGTGGCGTTGAGATTGAAGGCTCTGTTGTTCACTTCTGATTAAGGGCTATAGTATTTTTGGGTCTATATTGGGGTTCCCCTTATTTGGGGAATTTACCATATGTTCCTCATAAAGCCAAAGGCTAACCCTTAACCCCAAACCCTAAACACTAAACCCCAAACCCTAAACCCTAAACCCTGAACCCCAAACCCTAAACCCAAACCACAAACCCTAAACCCTCAACCCTACATACCCTATAGGGCTCCCAAATCTATCGCAGAGGCTTCAAAGGATTTTATAAGCTTCGAGGCTTAGGACGGACTGTCGTCAGGATGGAGGTTCTACAGCTTTTTTTTGTTGTAGGAGGCTTTTTACACTGCTGGGTTATCCATTCAGGGTTCTCAGTTTAAGGAGGAGAGGTTGCAGGTAAGAACTTCGAGGTTTAAAGCTGAGGTCTTGCGGAGTCTAGATCAACATAATAAGGGGAGCTAAAGAGCCCAGGAACCTCCAAAACCATAGGGGTGGTCAGGGTTTAAGGGTTAAGGTTACCCTCGCGTGAGGGTCACATACGGCTCCGAGGAGGGCAATCGGGCTATATGAGGTCCATGTATGCCTCCTCCAACCAACATGGCCCATGTAGCGACATAGTTTATACGGGGCCCTAAACTAGGTAAATGGGACCCGCTTTGAGCCCTAAGTACAGGGAAGAGGGGGAACTTCATACAGATCCACACCAAAAATATAATCCTTCTTATAGGGACCCCCAAATGGTATCCCCAATTTGGGGAAACCCCCATATACTTAGCCCTGAATCCAAAACCCTAACCCCAAACCTTGAACACTAAGCCCCGAACCCTAACCCTGAACCCATGGACCCTTCGGGTCCTTCAAGGTCACCAAGAAGCTCACACAGCCTTGTCAGAACACTCACGTCCCAGACATCGGACTCTCCTCAATTCAGTGAATCCATAATGAGAGGATTTAGGGTTTAGGATTTAAGGTTTAAGGTTCAGAGTTTAGGGTTTAAGGTTTAGAGTTTAGGCTTTAGGATTTAGGGTTTAGGGTCTAGAGTTGGATATAGGGTTTATGCTTAGGGTTCCAGTTGCTCCAATACTGGAGAACCGAACAAAAAATCAAATGCATCATGGAACGGGGCTGGGGTTATATAGAATTTTTTCATTGCCAATCGGGAGATTTCCGTGAGGCATAGCCCCCATAGCAAGGATCGTGTGTGTGTGTGTGTGTGTCGTATGACTATAATGTGGTGCCACTTTCGAGAGCGGCACGCTGGGTCAAGCTGCCATAATGCAGCTTCCACTCAGCCATCGGCGGCAGCAGCTCCTGATGCGTGCCATGTTTCTGCGGCCTGTACATGGCCTCCCCACACATGCTGAGCCGAAGGTTATGTCCCCAGATCCTGAGGGCAGAGTCAACATTAATGGCGACAACCAGGTGGTTACGATTCAGGAGAGCCATGATTTCTCCTACCATTTTGGTTCCGTACCTGAACCCTAAACAGCCGTATCCATGCTAAGTGTCACAAAAGTTTGTTGCGGTTTTGGGGTGCCACCTTGGCGTGGCAGGCCTTTTTGAATATTAGTTTTCTGCTACGTAATGCAAACAAGAGTGAAAGTTGTTATCGCTATTTTGCAGGAGTTGCTACAAAGTTCACTGACCCTAGGCCTAAACACAGTTTCTGTTTCATTGTTCCATTTGCTCCATTGTTGGGGTTAATACCCCCCTAAACCCTAAATCCAAAGGCCTATACCACCAAGATTAGATTACATAGGATTATATTGGGGTTATATAGGGTCATATAAGCCATAGTCTAAACTCCTAGTATCCCCCTGAATAACCTCCTAATTTAGGTCCTAATAGTAGTCCCCTATCTAATCCCCTTTAAGGATTTTAGCTCACCCATGCTCACCCTAAGCCCTAAACCCTCACTATAAGGATTATATAATAGACTACCTGCAGGTGCCGCAGACATGGGTGGCCTCCAGTTTTTCTGCACCTCCGTGGATATGCCCGAGGTGGGGAAGAAGAAGCACTCAACAAAGTGGCTATTGGTTTAAGGGTTTTAGGGTTTAGGGTTTAGGGTTTTAGGGTTTAGGGTTTTAGGGTTTAGGGTATTAGGGTTTAGGGTTTAAGGTGTAGGAATAGAAAAATCCTCTCTTGAAGGCAAAGGGATCAGGGTTTGTGGTTTCTGGTTCAGGGTTTAGGGTTTAGGGGTATCAACTCCAATACTGGAGGATCAAATGGAACAAATGAAGTGGAAACTGGGCTTGGGTGCGGGGTCCCTAAACTTTATAGTAGTTTCCATTTCCATTTTCACCTTGATTTTCCCTTCAATTCTCCTTTCCTAGTTTATTCAGGCCGTTGTAGTTGGTGGAGGGATGCAGCATGATGTTGGTCCCTAGTGATAATCTAAGCTTTACTGCGCTGGCGAAGGCTCTTGAAATTTGGAAGCTGGTTGCTTGTACATGAACTCGAGTGTTGGTTGCGCGCATTTCAGGCTTGATTTTGTTGTCCAATAGCTTCTGCGCGCTGTTGAATGACTGCCAATCTATGGATATCTGGACGTGTTTCCGGTGGATATTGAGCTTCTGGCACGTGTCCTGAGCCTCCATCTGCATCTTGACTTGCACAAGTAGCCGTTGATATCTCACGCTGATGTGGCCGAATCTCTGTCAACCAATTCATCCTGTAAATATCTGTCTGTCACGCGCTGCTTTCTGGTCGCTGGTGCCTTGAACGACTTTTGGCAAGTTTCTACTCACTAAGCTGCCACTTTGACCTCCCAAAGTAGCACTGTCGAGAAGTTTTTTCCTGAAAGCCGGGTAGCTCTTTCACCCTGCCAAGCGAGCGACGCTACAGATAAATTTCCTGCTGCTTGAGTCTTTCTGTGACCGCCCCTGTGTAGTGTGAGCATCGTGCGCATATGCCGACGATGATGATGAGGATGATGATGATGATGACGATGATGATGCCAAGGAGGGCAATGCTGGTGCTGGTACTGACGCGCGGAATCAGTGTTTTGACAAAACTCAACACGTTTCAGCATCGAAGCAAGGGCGACCTCGAGCTGACAGTGAAGTGCGTGGAGGCCATGAATGCCAAGAGCGACCCCTCTGAGGAGGACACCACGTTGTGCATTTTTAGGATTTCAGGTTCCAGAGTTAAAATAGTTCGCCCATGCGCGCTGGTCACCAGGTCATCAGAAGAACTGGGTTGAGGATCCATCACAGACCTGATTTGCTGCCTCGCAGTTTCTCCAATTGCTAGTGCGGCGGAGTGCGGTTGTCTAGGGGTTCGATCGGCTTTGCTGACTTTCAAGCCGTGTAACATGTAGAAAAAGCGCGGCGAACTCTTCAGATGATAGTAGATGCCATGACAAACCGAAGCTGTTCCTGATGCGTTTCTTGTTGCTGCTGTGGGCTTTCAGCGTCAAGAGAACGGCTTGCAAGATTTTAGAGTGCTTCCATGGCGATGTCACTAAGTCTAAGTAAGCCTGAGAACTTCCTGTGCAACCTACTGACTTATTTTGAAATTCCACACATTTCAAAGCCCTCTTTCAAATTTCATACCTCTTTGGAGATTTGGTAGTTTCCCAAAATGAGGGGACCCCAATATAGACCCAAAAATACTATAGTCCTTATTATAGGGGCCCCCAAAAGGGCACCCCAAATTTTAGGAAACCCCCATTTGGGCAGGGGATCCTTCAGCTTCTGTCAAGGAGCGCAAAGGTGGCTCAGGACACATCGGCAAGGCTTGGGCTGTCAGCCATCTGCTTAACACTTATAAAAGCAGCACTATTGCTCTTAGACATCTTAGAATAGTAATGTAATAATAGTACTCGTAATTTGTTGGCACACTTTCCGGATTTTTGCCAGGGTTGTCTGGACCATATGTCTTGCTGTTCTTGCTCTCATTTTTCGGATTCAGTTCAGGACCAGCACTATCTAGTTTCTTTGCACCTTCCTTCTCAATATCGCTCTCCACCTACCATGCTGGTTTTCTATGAGTGACAGGCCGCGACTAGGGCAACTGAGGTATTGCCAAAAGTAGAGGCTGGTCCGCCGGCTGCGAATCCTGCCAATTAAGCCTAGCTCAAGCCCAGTCCCTAAACCCTTGACGTTTAGGGTTTTAGGGTTTAGGGTTTAGGGTTAAGTGTGTCCACCTCTGAAGCGGGAATTGATTCGGGTATCCTCCGCAGGGGTGAAGTCGCACCCTAGTCTGCCGTCGATTTTCCAGGTCCTCAAACCTTTGAGATCCAACCAGCTTCATGGCTTCCGTGGTGCCGGGTTATAGTCCCCCTTAAGTAGATGGAATATGGCTTTGGGTATAGAATAATAAGATCCCCATATAACCCCTATTCTATCTACTGAGGGGGACTATATGAATATAGCTTTTGGCCTAGAGCAGGCAGCATTTGACGTGCATACATCCAAATGGCCCCGCTGTGTTTGACCGACACATAGATGCCTGTTAGAAATTGTATTGGCATGGTCGCTTTGCTTTCGCGCTGTTGGCCGTCGACTAGCTCTCCATCGTTCTCTCTCCCACAAAAGTATGCCGCAAAAGACAAGCAACACCAGGAATTTCACGCGCCAACTGCATCGATCTATTCAGCTGCTAAATCGTCCTCACCCACCGCAACGAAGTGTGACCAGGCACCAAAGGCGCATAAACACAAACAACGATGCTCCCTCACTGTTGGAAATTCATGTTCTCGTCGGGGGGATCCATCTCCTTCTGTACCAAGACCTTCCATCTACCCTCTATTAAACCTAATTGTTGCTGGGCAGTTCCTGAATTAAACTCTACACCCTCAACCTTAAACCCTGAATCCTAAGCCCGGCACTCTAAGCCCTGAACCCTGAACTAACCCTAAACCCACAAACCGTGAAACTACAGCCCAAAACCCTTCTTGCAGATGGTTTTCTCCGTCGGGGTGGAGCACCTGGCAGTGGTGGCGTACCCTCCTCTGGCGAGGTATTGCTAGTACTGCTTAACTCCAGAATAAGTATTGGTTCCAGTAATATCATTTGTTCGATTTGTATTGTTCTTCTCGTTATCTTCCTCCCACTTTACTTTTGGTATCATCATTATTGCTAATAATTGTACAGCATGTAGGCATATCATAGAGACATAGCGCCCAATAATGGAGAACCAAATGGAAACAACATGGAACATGAAATGGACACTACTAGAAGGCTTGATTTTGACAACGGTCAGAATTTCTGCAAGATGTTAGAGATCACAAGGCCCAGAATGACGAAGAATAACAGGATCCGTACTCACAAATGAGCCATAGTCTAAACGCATTAAAGGGGGTTATATGGGGGATTATATAGGGAGCATTATAGGGATTATCAAGTGGGATACCCTATAATCCCTTACGTAACCCTATATATATATATACACATGTGTATATATATATAGCAGTTTCCATTTCATTTTTCATGTGATTCTCCATTTTTAAGGGAGGACACTAGGAGTTTAGACTATAACCCCTATAATGAATAGGTCCCATTGCCACAGAACATCAGCTTTTGCGAGCTTTACACTCGAAAGCACTCATCGCAAGCCACGTGCTGAAAGCTTTGCTTCACGCCATCTCTTCTGTCAATCCGTCACCCTAAACCCTACACTCTCGGAAACCAACATGGAAACCCCAAAAGGGCCCTAAAGATTACAGTCCTTCTAAAAGGGGACTATGTGCGCTTCCTGATTAGTTTGGGGGAGTGTAAACCCTTCTTTCGGACTTGCCCAGCTGGAATTGTAAAGTTTTTGAAGCCTAGAGGCGCATGCGAGCTGCCCTGAGCCTTACAAGGTATGTGCCTACGGAAAAGACAAAGGAGCTCAGCTGTGAGGACGCATTGCTTGCACCTTGTAATATCTGAATTACAGAAGAGGCAAACCTTGAGCCCCTTGATAGTATATGAGCTATAGTCGAAGCTCCTTAAAGTGGGTTATACAGGGGGTTCTATGGGGCAGTATGATGGGGTTTATTTAGGGGGGATACTAGGAGTTTAGATTTTAGCTCATACAGAGCGGCAGGGAGCGTTCAGGAAATATTAAGGAACAGTGGATTGACCTACCGCGTTGAAGGCCAGAGTTCAGAGCACGTAGGCTCCCAACGGTACACCCTAGGCCACCGCAACAGTAAACTGTGTATTCCTCGTTCCTAAACATGAAGTCTAGATTTTCAATAAGTTTTGGACATTGCCCTCAATCATTTCCGGTTGGACAACAACCATACGATGATGATGATATAGAGCCTTTCATATGACCCTATCACGGACTGTTACTGGGCGGGGGCAGGACCCAGAATAAGTTACACCACTGCGAGACAGTCACTGCGAAGCTGTGATGAATGCAGTAAACTCTAAACCCTAAATAGTATTTTCCATATTCTTTTCCATTATCCCGTTATAACCCTTATATATAACCCTAATATTACCCCAATGGGTACCTATATCCCTAAGCCCATTATAGTAGTTTCCATTTTCTTTTCCATTATCCTACTATGAACCTTATATACTCTATCTAACCCCAATATAACGCCTATATGCCCCCTAAACCCTAAGAGTGAATGCAGGAGTGGCTTGCCCACGTTCTGGGCACTCAGGGCGGAAAGGCCCTCTGCACCCACGCGGTTAAGGGTTGGAGGGTGTAGGGTGTAGGGTAGAGGGTGTAGGGTTCAGGGGTATAGGGTGTAGGGCTTAGGGTTCAGGGTTTAGGGTTTAGGGTGTAGTGTTTAGGGTGTAGGCGTAGGGTTTAGGGTGTAGTTCTGGCTTTGTCCATTTGCTTTGTGGTGCAAACAGGCATGAACAGCAGCATCTCGCACCAGCTAGGGATGTTTTCAATTCTCATCTGCAGCAGCATAGAAGATCTCCTATAAGATGGACGGGAAGTTGAGCTCATCAAGGTCCTGGTGCACATGCACCTTTTTTCCACACCTGATCATGCTGCGCAATAAGGAAAGTTGCATCGCCACTAGATTCATGCACGCCTCTATTGCAAAAAAGTCTTTTGATGTGATATGATATGAATGTGCGACTGCACCCGCCCAGATCCCCTGGGAGGATCTAAACATTAGATCCTCTATATAGACCCATAATAGCCCCTATATAACCCTTGTAATTTCCCAATATGGTTCTACGGGATCTAATTTTTAGATCCCTTTGGGGGTCTAGGCATGGACCAGGTAGAAACCAAGGGCAAGGAGTTGTGCACTGGCACTGTGTGGGCCTAAGCAGGGGATCCTTGACTGTGGCCAGCTGATTTCGTGTGGAGCTGAAGAGCGGATCTTGTTACTGGGAGTTGGGGTTTGGGGTTTGGGGTTTAGGGCTTAGGATTTAGGGTTTAGGGTTTAGGGTTAGTAGGGCATGAGGGAATACATGCTATGAGCTACAGTAAATTCCATAAATGTAGGGAATGATTATATAGGGAACTACTACAGGGGGGATACTCGGAGTTTAGTCTACAGCTCATATAGGGATTCTATTCCCTTATTTCCCACTAGTAGACTAACCACCTGCAAGTCTTTGGCCGTAGAGTTGGAGCTACCTTTTCGCAGTCTGATCATTGAGGTTAAGACCAATGCCGACAAGGCAGCCTTGCTTGCAAATGACTGGGGAGGGCTGGGTTGCTGTAGAGCAACTTAAATTGTGTTACCATAACGGGTATATATATATATATAGAGATAGTAATTGACACGGTTTCCCCAGTATAGTAAGTTGAATTAAGTTCCTTAACAGCAACCCAGAGGAAAGTCGTCCAGGGCAGCTGAGCAACCGCTAGGCTAGGCTTGAGGCTACAAGTTTTTTTTTTGAAGATCTTCATTACCACGCTCACCACCGAAGATGTGCTCACCTATGCGGCCAGGGTGTCTTCCCTTTGAAGCGCCGGCCCCGGTTTGCTCGTCTCATGAGCATTGCAGCATGCGGTAAGTATGAAGGAAGGTAGTGTGCGGCCGATAATCCAAGAGTATATATATATAATGTATATACAAACATTGTTTCGTTTCGTGGGCACAGGCTCAGAAGAGTACTGATGTTGCCAGTCTGAAGCAGTGCAGTTGTGGAGGAAGTGCAGAAGTACGTTGCGCACCTTCACACATAAGGGAGAGGAATGTCACAGTGGCAGCGCCACCAAATTGACTACAAAGAGTAGCGGACTCTCAGAAAAGAGCTAATTTATTCATGTGGGGGCCACAAATCCTGTCCATTCTGTGCTGAGGATCAGAGAGCCCATGATCCTCGAGGCGCTGCGATTTTAAGTTAGTGTAGGCGTGTATGACAGGGGTTTAGGGTTTAGGAGTATGGCAGAGGCTTGCGGTTGTTGCATGGCAGGCCAACAACTACTTGCGCAAGAAAGGTCTTTTCCCTGAGGATTCTCGCCAATTTAGAAGCTTTCGGCATGGTTTGGGCGACCTTGCCCTTGTCTTGCGAATGTCGGAAGTTTGGAAGTATACTGGAAAAGCTATGTCCTTCTGCTGTTAGCTGCTGTTTCTGCGCCATGCCATAAGGACAACGATGATGATGACGACGAGTGCGTGTTCGGCGATGATGATTTCCCCGCCTGAAGTGGACAGAGCGCTCGGGCGGTGCAAAAGACACTTATCCTGCTGCAGAGCTTTGCCCACGATGTAAGTAATAGTGTGGCATTTGGACTCGACAGCAGGCTTCCAAAACTTGACCTCCTGATATAACTGCCATAGGGCTTATCGAGGGCCTGGCACGACTGACGTGGTCTAGTAGAGATGAAGGTGGAGAGGGCATGCCAGTTGCGAGGGTGATTGGGCAACAGAAGCTTTACGCACTCCTACATGCACACACGCACACACAAGCACGCACATGCGCACAGCTGTGTTACCTGCAGATGCCACTGAAAGTTATGCGTATGCTTTGCCTGGACATTTTGTGACAGTCTATCGTCACCTACTACTTGATAGGGGGCGCAGTGCATTGGAGGCCAAGCTGCGGTACCTGTGCAGCGTGGAGGCGAAGCTCGAAAACTGCGCACATCCCTGTCCCCAGCGGTCAGAGGGGGGCTGGAACCGGAAGGCCTCGCCCTGCGCGAGCCAAGCTGTAACCCGGCAACGATTCAGTAAGTGGTGTACGGGGCCTAGGGAGGCCATAATACATGGCCAGGTTCCCAAAATTGGAGGGGGTGCCCAAAAAAAAGGATCTACATTTTTGGAGCCCTTTATTGGGGTATCCTATTTAGGGACATTACCATATCTGTTCAGAGGAGACTCTTGAGAGAACCAAGGAGTCGGAGCTTGCTCCGGAGCTCGCGGCTGCAATCCTTCTGATTATGGGCCTGTTAGGTATGCTTCTGGCAACATGGTCCCCCGGACTTCTAAGGGGTTTATAGGGGTTATAAAGGGGTATATAGGGGTCTATATGGATATATATATGTATAGGGACATGTAGGCTTTAGGGCTTCCTCAAAGAATGGCAGGGTGGTCTCGTTTTTTCCCCCGTGGTCGAGAAGGTCACAGCTGTTCCTGTCATAGTGGGGTCGTCCACGTTGTTGTTGCTGTAAGCACCTCTAGCTAGCAGACCAAATCATGTGAGCCATAGTCGAAACTCCTGACAGGGGGTTTAAATCGGAGACTGCTATAGGCGTTAATTGTTAAGGGGGATGCTAGGAGATTAGACACTAAACCCTAAACCCCATAACGGGGGTTCATTGAGGGGCATACTAGGGAGTTTGGACCCTAAAGCCCAAACCCTATCATAGGGGTTATTAAGGGGGATACAATTGAGTAGTACTTTATTTGGGGATACTATGGTACCCAATACAGAGTAAGATTCTATCTATCTCTTTGGAGTATAGTACTTTATATAAGGAATGTAATCTTACTGGGTTTAACCACCAAAAAAACACTACCCAATAAGTGAACCCTAAACCCTAAACCCCTAACCCCTAAACCCCTAAACCCTAAACCCTACAGAGCACAAGAGGTCTCTCCACACTGGGAGGAGAAGTTTGCCCCTGAATCCTGGGGATGCTGAGCTGCTGTCGCCTGAGCATTCTGGGGATGGTGCCGTTCTGCACGAGCAAGTTTCAAAAGACAGGTGCCATGTGTGCCATAGTCTATAAACTCTTGAAAGGGAGTTATATAGGGGATTATGTAGGGGAGTATTGTAGGGGAGTATTATAGGGGTTACTAAGGGGGATAGTGGGAGGCCCAGTTATGATATGGCAGTTTCCATAAACATGGCCGGCCTATTCTGGACCCCCCAAATACTACAGTCATTATCAAAGGGACTCCATGTGGGACCCCACATTTTTGAAAATAACTCCCAAACCGCGGTGTCTAGAGTGTGAACAGTTGTAGCGGGAGGGCCGGGAGCTCTTGCAAACCCCCAGGTGGTGCGTGAGTCTGCCGGACCTTCAGCAGTTTCGCCGCCTCGTTCAGCGAGCAGTTGCTGAAGAGAAGATCCGACCAACTGAACGAGACATGTTTGATGTAGGAGACTTCACAATCGGGCCGTCCGTCTACACGGTCACCGATCAGTTCATCAAGCCAGTGACTGCCAATGCTGGCAATATGAGTTGGGCCCTACTGAAAAATCCTGGTGGACTGCAGTGCGATGCCTTCGTGACACATTGTTGGGCAGAAGGGATCCGAAGCGTGCGCAGGGCGTGTACGTCTGCTTCCTCTCTAACCCCCAAAATCTGGACATCAGCAGTCTCATAGCGCGGCCGGCTGACTCTCCATTTGCAGTGGCGCTACGCTATTCATCTTCGCTTCTGGTGGTCCCCAGCCATCGCGTTAGTATCTACACTAGGCTTTGGTGCCTGGCTTGTTGAATGACCCTGAATACTTGCTTGAGCCCAACAGAAGACGAAACTGTTATTAATACTGTGGTACACTTTCCTAGGGGGGTTCCCTCTAGCACCCCCCCGCTTAGAAGAAGAACAGCCGTCCTCAACAAGGCTTGCTTGGTCCTGAGGTTCTGGGGATTGATTCAAAGGGGATAGTCTAGATTCGGGATTCTGCTAGGACCCCAAAGCCGGAATACATTCAAGAGGGTCATCTAACATCTAACAATGGCTGTCAATGGCTAGACACTCAATGAGCGGCCGCCGAAACGCACTACAGAGGGTCACGATGCCAAAGTGAGTGCAACATTAGAGCGCAGCAAAATCCCAGGTGCGTCTATGAAGCCTTCCTTGCCTACACGCATGCAAAGACAATCAGAACAGCCGAGATGCGGCCAGTGGGATTTTGGAGACGGTTCTTCCGAATCGCTTGCCTTCCTGTCGTTCGCACTTGCAACACATGGGTGGTTGCCAAAATTATGGTCCCTTTTTGGATCCCTATTATAATACGGCACCTAATATTCAGGGTACCTAAAAAGGGACCATAATTTTGACAACCACCCATATAACCCAGTATAGTAGTTTCCATTTTCTTTTCCATTATCCCCCATGGAACCCCAATATAACCCTAATATTACCCTAATGGGTACCATAATCTAATTTTGACAACCACCTACATGTTTTTGGTTTTGGAGTCTTCCGGTGCAAGTTCAGTCAGAGGCAAATCCCGTAGAACCCTACCTTGACCAAGATCTTAGTATTTTGGGGTTTAGGGTTTAGGGGTTTAGGGGTTTAGGGGTTAGGGTTTAGGGGTTAGGGTTTAGGGGTTAGGGTTTAGGGTTAAGGGGATAATGGAAAATGAAATGGAAACTACTATAGTATATTGGGGTTATAATATGGGGATAATGGAAAATCAGATGGGAACTACTATGGTATATTGGGGTTTTATGAGGATACTGCCTTTGGAACCCGAGCAGTTGGCCCAGGTATGTTGCAGCTACTAGCCTATCCTGGCTGCTGCTGCTACCACGCCTCATTAGCTGGGACCATGCTGCCGTGCTGGGCTGTGTGTCATGTACCTTGGCAGTGGGAACTGGAGCTTGCAACCCGAAGCAGACATGTGGGTGGTTGTCAAAAGTATGGTCCTTTTTTGAATCCCTAGTATGATACGGCACCTATTATTTAGGGTACACAAAAAGGGACCATAGTTTTGACAACCACCCATATAAGACATCCTGGATGGCAGGACCTTTCATGAAGGTGTTCATTAGTGGTGCTTGATGGATCCCACCGCAACTCTGAAGGTCCTCTAACCCCACCAGGAAACCAGGGCCCTACCTCCTCCCCTGATGGCCCAGGCGCTCTGATAGGTGTTCTGCATGGGTTTGGCGGCGTGCTGCTGCTTCCGGAATTTGGGTTGGAAGTGTGCAATGTAATCGCTTGCATTTGTGCCGCCGTGCTGATTGCCGGGTTCATCGCAGATTACAGCAACTCCTCCTTGATTTCGCCAACTGTGTTCGACGTCACGGTGTGGATCGGCGGTCTAGCTTCCTGGACACGCTAGACAACACCCTATTCCATTATGAATACTTCCTAGACTCCGCTGTGTAGCCCCATCCATGTTCATGGGTTGTTCGCCCTTCAAATTAACCCTGAGGCCTGAGCCTTCGATTTTCAGACTTCCAGAAAAGCGTGGCCTTCACCAATGATCGGGTAGACGAAGCCCTCTTCCTAAACAGCGCCATGCATACCTTTTGGATCAACTCTCTCATTTCATGGTGTCATAAGGTTTGGATTGCCATGCGCAGGGTCTAGGCGAATGCGCCAAATTGACTGCATGTGGTGCTTTCCTATGGGAGAGTTTATCAAAATTACCCTAGATAATCCTTACTTGAGACCAGAATTCCCGAATCCCATCGTAAACCACATGCATGCGTAGGCCTAAGCGATCCCCCATTCTTGAGGCACTCCTATATAATTGCAGTGTCCATGTCAGTTTCCATGGTCTTTCCCATCTGATTCTGCATGATGGGGCTATCCCTGTGATACCTAAACCTGAAACCCTAAACCCTAGTGTCCTGCGCTGTGCAGACGTAAAAGTCCACAGGTTGTAAAAACCAGCTTAGTTTCCATCGTCTTGTCTATACAACCCTATCTACTCCATATTTAAACCCCACAATGACCCTCATGTAACCCCATGTACTCCAGTGTATCTCTACATACCCCCTACATAGCCCCTACATATCCCCTATCAAATCCTTTTCAACTCCCCCTAAGCCGCAAACCCTAAACCCTAAACCCTAAACCCTAACCCTAAACCCTAAACCCTAAACCCTGGTTCAACCTCAGGCTGGTTGCTGCTCTTCGTAGTTTGATCTCATGACCTCTTGGGAAGGTGCCCGGCGCAGCCGACTGCTGCTTAAGGATTTCACTGGCAGGCTAGTGGGTTTAGGGTTTAAACCCTAAACCTTGAACCCTAGGGTCTTAGGGCTTAGGGTTCAGAAGCCTTAAGACGGGAGACCAGTATGTCCGATCATCACAGTTTCTAGGGTTCTGCTCCCCAACGCTTCAGGTCGATATGCCTACATGGTAGTTTACACAAACAGGGTGAACCCAATGTCGACCCTTAAATTTTACTATAATCTTACAGCCTTGCTTTGCGGAACCCCCTATCACCATGTAATCCCAGTTTTCTTTTCCGTTTCATTGTCCATTATAACCATTATATTACCCCAAGGGGTACACACCCCCCCCCCAATATTTCAGTGTATTGGGGTTACATGGGGATAATGGAAAAGAACATGGAAACTACTATAATGGGCTATATGCAGTAAAGCCGTCAAAAGCAGGCTATTGGATGCCAAGTGTTCATCTGCACTTGACCAGCAGCACATTCACGAAGAGCTGCTGGAGAGCGGCCAGGCAAACGCAGGGCTTTAGGGTTGAGGGATGAGGTTTTAGGCTTTCGGGTTTGGGGTTGAGGTTTAGGCTTTAGGGTTGAGGGATGAGGTTTTAGGGCTTAGGGCTTAGGGTTGAGGGATGAGGCTTTAGAGTTTAAGGTTTAGGGTTGAGGGACAAGGTTTCAGAGTTTAGGGTTTGGGCTTCATTTATCAAAATGTGCACTGTCTTATCCCTTTTTTTTGGCGGTGATCGTAATACTGTAACACAACTAGATGTGATACGCTAATGTTTACTGGTAGTCGCTGAATCCTACAAGTCTGAGAGCCAAATGCCACGGTTTCTAAACACCCTAAAAGATGCAGGATCAATCGTAAATCCAGTTTGCAATTCACTTTCGGCTTTCTTTTCCATCTGATTCTCCATGATACTCATATCTAACTCTATATAACCCTATCTGGACCCTGCGTTCGTATCAGCCCTATGTCCCACCTTTTTGCTGTTTTAGCACGTATGCAGGTGCAGGACGTGGAGTATGCGGTTCGAGCTATGTTACGCATGAACGTTATGACCTACGAACTCCAGGAAACTGTTGAGTTGGTGGGTGAGTTGGGAGATCCTTGGCCTCTTTACCGGCTAAACCCTGAAACCCCTTAAGCCTAAACCCTTAACCCCTAAGCCCTTAGACACTGGACCTTAAGCCCTATACCTCCTGGATTCCCACGTGGCCCAAGGATGTTTCACGCTTCCCTACCTTAGCGATCCTGCTTGGACTCGCCAGTTGGTGTGTGCTGCCCGTCTGGGTCTGGTCAACTACCATGCCATCCGCGCCACTGTGGCTCTCACTCCTGACGCTTGCAGAGCTGGTGCAGGGCTGTGTGTGGCTGAGTCGGTGTTAAGGAACTTTAATTAAGTTACTATATTGGGGAAACCACGTTAATTCCAATATATACCCACTATGGTAGCTTACTTTGAGCTCCTTAGCAGCAACCCAGGTGGGTGATCTGCTTTGTGTACTCCTCTGCCGAGCGCAAGGTTTGGGCAGCTTCGGTTATGCAGTGGTGGAGCATGCACTTTGCATTTCTGATCACGAACATCTTTGTTCCCATGTTGAGTCAGCTGGAGGCACATGTTGTGCCTGGAGCTCTGCTTTGGGGTCCCTTCTGCCTGTCCCTGTCGCTTGCCGGACCGCTCCGTTCCGCTCATATCCCTATCTTGGGACCTGCACTCGTGCGCGTTACTCTGATGAAGTACTTGTGTGGGCGCGGCCTGGACTCTGATTCAGACGAGGAAGAGTCAAGCGAGGAAGAGATGCCCCCTTCCAAGGATACCAAAGAGTCTATGCCGGATGTGGTTGTTCAGGACGGAGCCGTGAGTGTGTGACTCTGAGACAGGATGGCCAAGCTGCACCTGGTCCCACTGCGAGCATGTACAGAAGTTAGGGTCTAGGTTTGGGGTTTTGGGGTTACTTCTTTCCCTCAACTCAACTTTGAAGGATGATCGTTTGATGCCCAGGGTGACCGCAACGCCCCTCTTGTTGACAAGAGTAAGTATGCTGTAGGTGGACCCCCCCACCCTGTAATAGTGGTATCATAGGAATATTAGAGGCCCCCTGTTCTACCACCATTCTCCATTAAGGCACCATAAGTGCGCGGTCCACCTAAGGTACCCCAAACCCTAAACCATGCCCGCCCCTAACCGTTAGTGTCGTGACAACGTGCATGGATCAGGGTCAAATCCCTAAAAGGGACTCTCATAATCCTCGCATAATCTTTAAGTATAGTGCGCTTTGAGTAGTCAGAATATGGCTTTGGGTATATTACTATAGGATCCCCATATGCCCTATGTTCTTTTTACTGAAGGGGGACTATACCCTAAGACCTAAATAGTAGTTTCCATTTTCTTTTCCATTATCCCATATAACCCCTATAATTCCACTATATCCTTCTTGAGGGGGACTATATCCCTGTGGGGTGC